TCTTCTTCTTCTTCTTCTTCTTCTTCTTCTTCTTCTTCTTCTTCTTCTTCTTCTTCTTCTTCTTCTTCTTCTTCTTCTTCTGTGGAGCCTTCTGCTGAGGCTGCAGGAAGTCAGGGAACGCAGGGAACGCAGGCCGATTCACTCATGGCTTCACCCCACACGAAAAGTGTAGAGGGTTGTCCCGGGATATCAGCCAGGGCAACTAAAGGGCACCGGGAGCAACCGGCGGGGGACGGTTCTCCTTGGTCCCTGCAGGTGCGAATGAGAATTGGACGGCTTCCCAACCTCCAGGCAGGGCCTGGAGATCTCCTGGAATCACAACGGACCTCCAGACTGGAGAAATCAGTTCCCCTGGGGAAAATGGCTGCTCCGGAGGGTGGACTCAATTGCACTGAGCTGTCCTGAGCGCCTTATCCCCCCCCCCCCAAAAAAAACCCTAGCCGTTCCCGGGCTCCACCCCCCAGATCTCCAGGAGTCCCCCAACTTGGAGTTGGCAACAGGAGCCAGGGAGACAATCAGGCAGTTGCTCTCACGTTTATTTATTTATAGCCGGTTTTCCTCCCCAGTTGGGACTCAGAGCAGGTTAGAATATCATCCCCCCCACCCCGAGAGTCAGTTTGGTGTCGTGGTTAGGAGTGCGGAGTCTCACCTGGGAGGACCGGGTTTGATTCCCCCACTCCTTCGTATGCAGCCAGCTGGGTGACCTTGGGTCAATCACGAGTTCTCTCAGAGCGGTTATCTCAAGGGCAGTCCTCAAAGGAGCTCTCTCAGCCCCACTTTCCTCACAGGGTGTCTGTCATGGGGAGGGAAAGGAGATTGTAAGCCGCTCTGGGACTATTTCAGGTAGTGAAGGGTGGGGGATAAATCCAATCTCCTCCTCCTCTTCTTCTCTCACAACAAGCCTGTGAGGTAGACCAGTCCAGTCGCAGGCTCTTCTCTTCTTGCTTCCCCACTTAGGGAGACCCTGGATCTGGAACACAGCAGGGCCTTTACTGTGTTTGCCTCGCCCGGTCCTCAGGGCATCCTGTTTTGAGGGCCCTTGGTAGTCCTCAGGTTGGTGAGATGGGAGACGGGGGCTCCGCCTGCCTTGAGCAGCTTCCAGACTGGTCGGCCAGCAGCAGCCTGCAGAAGTGGGCGGGCAGAGCCGTTTCCCCTATGGGGAGGCACCCTCCCCCATCTGAACCCATGGCTGCAGGGGCAGGATCACGGGCAGGGGTCATTTCGTAGAAAAAGAGGTGCAGGAGCTCATTAGCACAACTCATTTGCATAGGCCACGCCCCCTGACATCACCGGAAGTGTGTCAGAAGGCAACACCCACCACTCAGGCTCCGCTGGACTGTTTTGGATTGCTAGCTATTGGGGGGGGGAATGCGTAGATCTGCCCTCACAGAGGAGGGAGAGCTTGTACCTGAATAAAATTTGGTCTTAAAGTTGCCACTGGACTGTTTTGGATTGCTAGCTCTAGGGGGGAGGGGAGCATGCAGATCTGCCCTCGCAGAGGAGGGAGAGCTTGTACCTGAATAAAACTTAGTCTTAAAGGTGCCACTAGACTGTTTTGGATTGCTAGCTATGGGGGGGAGGGGAGCGCGCAGATCTGCCCTCACAGAGGAGGGAGAGCTTGTACCTGAATAAAA